GACTTATGTATTTAGAGGGATTTTTTAGTCTTATTGTTACAGGGACACAATGTGCAGAGGAAGGGTTAGTGGTGTCCCATACAACAGAGTTTACAGGATTCAGTAGAGAAGGGTATGTGTCCTGATTGCTTTCAGGGAGGAGTGCTAGTAGGAAAGGGGTTGTAGGAGATGGGGGAGATATGGAAATGGAGACATGTAGCCGAGCGAGGATGTCTCGACCCAATAAGGGAAGGGGACATTGAGGCATGACCAGAAAAGAGTGGGGAAAAGGAGAAGGAACACCTTCAATATGGCAAGTTACTGGAGGCGTTCTGCGGGAGTATATATGTTTTCCTCCTACCCCGACTATAGGGGAAATGTTAAGTGTGGTTGGGCCCTGAAACTCCTTTAAGACCGAAAAAGTGGCTCCTGTGTCCAGGAGGAAGGAAACGGGTCGGCCATCCACAACAATAGTTACCCTGGGCTCACTTTTTGTGATGGTCATGGTCGGGAAGGACCCAGGGCCCCATCAGTCCTCTTCAGCCAGTCCCACCAGAGGTGTTTGGGGTGCCCGCGATGGCTGGGGCTTGTTAGGCCAATCTCCCCTTCGGGTGATTGGGCAGTCCGAGCCCCAATGTCCCATTTTTTGACATTTAGGGCATGGTGTGGTGGGCGGTCTGGGGGAAGGACAGGACTGAGACCAATGACCCGCCTGTCTGCATTTAAAGCAAGCCCTAGGTGGAGCGCTAGGTTTAGTAGAGCGCCCAGAAGGCGTTTTTATGATCTGGGCCCAGCATTTGAAAGTTGGCCTGATCAGCCCTCTGCTTCCGCCGTTCCTTTTCCTCCTCCCTATTATGGAAAACTTTAAATGCCACTGATAAGATTTCGGTTTGTGGGGTGGCGGGGCCCTTTTCTAATTTTTTAGTTTAGCCCTAATATCAGGGTAGGATTGGGCCAGGAAATATGTCATGAGGACATGACGGCCATCTTCTGAGAGGGGGTCTAGGTCGGTGTATTGTTGAAAGGCTTGAGATCAGGCGGCCTTTTTGAGACCAGCCATGAGACAAGAGGCAAAGTGATCTCTGGCCTGAATTCCCGGTGGTGTGTTGTAGTCCCAGTGTGGATCCTGTTCGGGAACTGCCTGGGGGCCTAGTGGGAAAGCAGGGTCTGTGCGGTGGGTTTCATCTGCATGGGCCTGGGCCGCGTCCCAGACACGTTGGCGCTCTTCAGGAAGGAGGGTGTTGGCTAGGAGCATATAGATGTCGTGGGGAGTGAGACTGTATGCCTGAAGGACCCATTGGAATTCCTTAATGTAAGTGGAGGGGTCAGTGATGAAGGACCCTAATCTTTTTTCTAGCTGAGTAAGGTTGGCTAGCGAGAAGGGAACATGGACTCGAACAACTCCCTCAGCGCCAGCCACCTCACAAAGGGGAGCTATGGTAGAGTCAGGGGGTCCCCAAGAACATGTGACAGGAGGGCTAAAAGAGGCGGCAGAGGGAGGATCAGGAAGTAGAGGGGCAGTTGGATTAAGGGGGGCAGGCTTTGAAGGTTCAGGAGATGTGGGGGCAGTTGGGGGAGAGGCTGCCGGAGTGGGGGGGCCTGTATGGAGGGGGTTCATCTGCAGGGTCAAAGGCGTTGGGATCGGGAGATAAGGGCAAGAGGGCTTTAGACACTAGGAGAACCTGAGAGGGGGAACAAGTGGGACAGAGGGAGGGGTTTTGGGCGAGGAGGCGGAAAGCCTCAACATGGGGAATCTCTTTCCATTTTTTCAGGCGCTGGCAGTAATTGAAAAGATCCCGGAGAGTGTCAGGATCGAGTGTGCCCTCAGGGGGCCACTTGTTTTGGTTGTCTAAGGGATAATAAGGCCAATCCTGTGTGCAAAATTGGTGAGGAGCTTGGGTTTAATGTCTGGTTTGAGGGATAAAGTGGTTAGGTTGTTTAGGAGGCACTGTAGGGGTGAATCCCCCCAAAGTGAGGAGGAAGAAGTTCCCATTCCAGAAGAGGACTTTAGAGAAGAGAAACCAGAGGAGGATTAGAGGTGAGTCCTTTGGCTGGATGAGAAAGACGAGACCCAGAGGGTGTCCCCAATAAGTCACACCAGTCTCAAGGGAGGGGTTCGAGTATGAACCAGGAGAGAAGGCGGGTGTAGGTCTGGGTGTAGGTCGTCACCTAGACCCTCACTTCTCTAGGGGAATGGCCCGGAGCCTGAAGGAACCTAGTGCTAGGCTTTAGCGGGGGTCCTGGACCCAGAAGGAGGAAGATTAAGAGAGGTAGGTGAGAGGAGGGGAGAGAGAGAGAGAGAGCAAGAAAGAAGAATGGGAACTTAGCCTCCGAGGACGGGGGAATGAGGTCAGGGTGACGGTTTAAATAATCTATAAGCCTGGCCAAAATGTAAAGGGGGCTTACCTAACGGATGAGCCAGTGGTGGGTGAAGGAAGCCAGCGCTAGAGAAAATAGACGAGGGTGGACCGTCAGTCCTGGGGGGTTGTGGAGAAGTCCGAGGAAGGAGTCCCCTGGCGCGGGGTGAACTCCTTCCCGGGTTTCGGCACCAATGAAGGAGGCACGGATGAAGGAGGCACGCGAGACCCGGGCTGACAGTTCACCAGAGAAGTTCCGCTTTATTCAAGGACTGCACATATATTTATAGGGAGCTGCGTTCCGGGTTTGGATAGGGGGTGGACGGGGCGGTAGCTGATTGGACAGGACTGGGCGGGAGGTGAGCCTTGACCTGTGACTGGTTGAGGTTTGGCGCTGGCGGGCTTGGGTTTTGGCGCCGGCGGGCTTGTTTACTGCAGAGAAGAACCCGGAAGGGCGCCATATTGCCAGGGAGTGCCCCCCCGCTTGAGTGCCTACGGTATCCCTACATTCTCTCTTTTTTTTTTTTTTTAAAGATGACTGGTAAGGGGATCTTAAACCTTGACTTGATGTTGTCAGCACCATGCTCACCCAGTGAGCTAACCGGCCATCCCTATATGGCATCCGAACCCATGGCCTTGGTGTTATCAGCACCACACTCTCCCGAGTGAGCCACAGGCTGGCCCAATATTTGCCTTCTCTTAATCCCCGACCTCCTCTTTTTCTATACATACAGCCATGCTGCTGTTGAACTATTTGAAAACAAGTTGCAGACCTCAAGACACTTCACCCCTAAATATTCCAACAAAAATATTTTTTGATTACACAGGGCTTCTAGATTTACCCTGTATTTCCAGTTTAAGTAAAAAACTGTCATAAGCTACTTACAGATTAAATCATCTAAATTTAGAAGGTTGGCATGAGAAGAATGAACTGTAATGGTCTAGGGAGGCTTTTTCTGAGAGAGATCCAGAGGATTTGGCAAGGAGCAGTATGCATGTTAACCTGGCAGCAAAATGCCTGAAGGATTGAGATATTTCAGTCTTTTTTGCCCTTGGGAGAAGTAACATGATATGAGTGAAAAGGGTAGAATTTTCAGGAGAAAAATAAAAAGCTTTTTTTCTTCTTATTCTTTTTTTTAAGGGTACAAGAAGATAAAGAATTTAGCAAACATATCCTCCCAAAGATGGTTTGATAACCTAGAATAGTGTTGTCATAAAAGCCAAGCAAAGGAATTTTAAAGAGAGGAAAGTGATCAATTTCAAAAGTCGATTCAGGTTTCTTTATTTTGTTGTCTCCAGAGTTGTTGGAAAGATCCAAATCCCAGAAGATTGGGTTTAAAGGCTAATTTAAACAATTTGAGAAAGAGTAGACGAGGGTTGCGATCCCGTTGCCGGTCGCAGTACGGGCGCGACACCGAGGGTTGCGATCCCGTTACCGGTCACAAAAAAAGACAAAAAAAGGAAGAAAAAAAAAAAGAGTAGAATTCCTTTTGCTCTTTTGTTTTTTACATAAAAAGTCACTACAAGGGCCGGGCCTGTGGCTCACTCGGGAGAGTGTGGTGCTTATAACAGCAAGGCCACGGGTTCAGATCCCTATATAGGAATGGCCAGTTAGCTCACTGGGTGAGCGTGGTGCTGACAACACCAAGTCAAGGGTTAAGATCCCCTTACCGGTCATCTTTAAAAAAAAAAAAAAAAAAAAAGTCACTACAAACTGGGGATCCTCCCAAGTTAGCAATAGTGTTCATTATATTATAGAACATTAGTAATCCTTTGTTGCTATTAAATAACTTTAAAGAAATGAAATAAATATACACTTAACTCTTCACTTTATTTGTTCTTTTATTTCTAATAATTGGGTTTCATAATAACTCTCTCTTTTACCAGGAATTTTTATGTGGCAAGAAATGCCTGGATCAACTAATTCAGAGACTGCTTCAATCAGCAGACGAAGAAGCCATTGTTGAACTTTTGGATGAAAACTTTAAATCAGCAAAATAAATGCTTATTTATTACTTATTATTATATAAATGAAATGGACCTATATTGAGAAGTAGACTGAGGCATGGAAATCTTTATGAATATTCATAAAGTATAGCTATAAGTACACAGTACTTACATATATATGTGTATATTTGGCACCTGGCCAGTAATACTTGACCTTGGTGGTATCAGCACCACGCTGTAACAAGTGAGCTAATCAGCCAGCCCTTACCAATATTTTTTTTTAATGAAGCAACATCGCATTTCTTGACCTAAGGGTTTATTTTAGGTTTCCTGTAAAGTACAATCCAGTTCTACAAGTAGAAAACAATCATGCATCATTGAAAAGAAATAGAGTATTGAGAACTGATTGTGTGATTTAGGACAAGTCACTTGTTCTCTTTATACTCCTTTTTTAACAACCATTTATGAAATAACTTAAACATTTTTCATCTATTTCAGGAAAATCTAATAAATTTAGTGATATTTGGTTTATATACTTATTTGTAAACCCCTTATTTAAAGACAAAGTACTGTTAATCATGTCAAAGTTAGGACTTTGACTGCAACTTTTAAATAAAAAATAAAAATTAAGAAGAATATGGGTCACTCAGTGACAGCATCTCCAGGATACAGATTGTAAAGCTCTTTACTGAATAAATTCTGTACTGTATGAACTACAAGCCAATATTTAAAGTAGATTCTCTGTTTGACTTCTATTTCTTATTGTTCTTTGGCTTAACTTAATGAGAATCAACAGATGTGGTATAATAGGAGTAATTCACTGCGATCAGTTTTGTGCAGTGATACGTAAAACCCAGTCATTACTTTAAAGATCTTCCAATTGAGAGAAGGAGCTAAACATGCAAATCACCAACTAATACAAAGTGGTATGGTATATTTAGTAATTGTTCTGAAGAAGTTTCTTGACTAAAAAAGAGAGGGATTATTATTTTAGACATTCCTCAGAATGGAATTTATGTGCAAGGAAGCCTAGCCTAGAGTTTTAAGACCAGTGGAATTATTTGAAGGTAAAGATGAGAGAGAAATGTTTTCCCAAATATTTATTTTGAAAATATTCAAGCATACAGAAAAGTTTTAAGGATAGTTTTTAAGAAATAGTTCAATAAACACTGTATACTCTAGATTAAACTACTGTTAACATTTTGCCACATTTGGTTTGGTTTTTTTTTCTCTCTGTAAACACATACGCATGCGTGGTGGTGGTTCGACCATTTTTTTTTTTTTTCCTTTTTGTCTTTTTCTGTGTCCG